ACCTGCAATTTCTTCATTTAATAAATATTTAATCATTGCTTCGAGTTTAAAATGCCAGCAGACCTTGCAAAGACTATTTACTTTTAACAAGTACTTTGGTCTACTTCGTCTTCAGGACTCTCCTTGCCGAGTGGATCATTTCGTCCAAAAAAGGTCCACACTGTCAGCAGTCTTGTGCCCTCTAGGGGGAAAACTGCAAGCTACAGCTTAATCTGAAACCTAAATTGGCAACTTGTAAAACGTGGGACAACAAAACAATCCAGACTTCTGAGAATCTTTAATTCAAGGGGAAGACTTTAAGTCTTCTCAGACTAAAAGAAGTCTAGATCACAATTTATAATTCAAATATTCAAATATTGCCTCCAAAAAAAGATATTCAGCAGAAGAATACTTACAATGTAGAAGTCACTAAGATCATAAGCTTTTCCCTTTCTTTGTCCACGTTGATGTTGATAAACTCCCTTCTGAATGAAAGGCAAGGCATTTGTTCTGTGAAATAATACAAAACTAGTACTAAAACAATGAAATTTATTTAAGCTTCTTAGATACAGTGAAATGTTTTATAAAACCCTTTAAAAAAGTAATTAATCCTACCTGTTTTTTCCAAACTGTCGATATTCATACACAGTAAGGGATTTGTCACATGCAAAAAAAAATCCAATCAACTCCCTACAAGCATCATGACCATTTCTAGAAGGAAAATTGAAAAGCACCTTTATTTTTTTCATCTATATGAATCCAATTCAACCCAAAAATAAGTAACATTTATTTAGGAATCAGAATGGTTTGAGTTGGAAGAGGCCTTAAAGATCATCTAGTTCCAAAACCCCTGGCATGGGCCATGACACCTTTCACTAGACCCCTCTGCTCGGAGCTCCATCCAGTTTGGCCTTGAATGCCTGCAGGAATGGGGCATCCACAGCTTCTCTGTGCAATCTGTTCCAGTGCCTCACCACCCTCACAGTAAAGAATTTCTTCCTGTTATCTAATCCAAACCTGCCTGCTTTTAGTTTGAAGCCATTCCCCCTTGTCCTGTTACTACACACCCTTTAAAAAAGTCCCTCTCTATCTTCCCTGCAGCCTCCCTGTAGGCACTGGAAGGCTGCAAGAGGGTCTCCCTGGAGGCTTCCCTTTTCCTGACTGGACAATTCAGCTCTCTCAACCTGTCTTCATAAGACAGGTGCTCCATCCCTCTGATTATATTTGTGACTTTTCTGTGCATCACTCCAACAGGTCCTTCTCGTGCTGGGGATCCCAGAGATGGACACAGCACTGCAGGTGGGGTCTAATGGGAGAGAGGAAGAACAGTAGAATCCCCTCCCTCGCCCTGCTGGCCACGTTTCTTTTGGTGCAGCCCAAGCACAGGTGGTTTCCTGGGCTCAAGTGCACACTGCCAGATCAAGTGTGCAAGAAGCACACTGCTCCTCATTGATCAGCACCCCCAAGTTCTTCTCCTCAAGGCTGCTCTCAGTATTCAATTTATTTCCAATGTTGCATGTAAAATTTATTTTTTTAAAGAGCTCTCTGACTTTTTTTCTCTAACCCACCATGAAATTCAGCTTGTGCATTTGGTCACATATTTTAATTCAATATTCTATTCTCCATAATGCCAAAAACACCTCTCAAGGCTTCATATTTTAGTATTCCAATATAATTTTCACTGATTAACTAAAGGATTACATACACCAGGACTACTGCATTCACTGAGGTATATGAAAGTATGTTGCTGAATACCCAGCTATGTCTAACAAGTATACAGCTCACAGCTGCAAAAAAGCATCACTTTCGTGTTTATGCTACCACTACTCAAATTGTAACAGTGTAAAGACATTCTAAAGTTTAATACATAAGGAGCTATGAACAAGTTGCAAAGCCATTACTACTTATAGCAGTTGCCACATCTAAGATAAGGCTAAAATAATTTTAATCAACTGAGATGCAACAGCTAAAAGCACTATTTTACACAGTCCCTGTGGTAACTGTCCTGAATAGAGCTATGGGTATGATGGTAACATAACATTGCTTACAGATCTTAACATTGTACAGTGGGACTGTAAAGCCACCATCCATTACTTATGTCAAAATTTTTAGTATACATGGACATCCACACGTACTTTTTTTCTTCAGCACAAGGAGCAGAAACGTTCAGTGCAATTAATCAGTTCAAGAGAGTAATCCTCATTCACAAATTCAGAGCACTGAAAAGCTTCACAAATTTTGTGATTACCTCGATATAATCCTACTATCAAAGCGTAGCTTGTTGGAAAGCATGTTCTCAGTTAGTCCTGATTTGGTCCTTACTCTGTGAAAATAAAGCAGCATGTTAATGATACCTAAATGCCCACAGATAAATGTTACATAAAACTCAACCATTTTCAAACAGCTG